AATGAATCAGTAAATCTTGGCCAACCTACGGGCATTTGTTACATACACACAATTTGACTGGAAAGAGCTACTCCCATGCGCCATGCTAGCGTTGAATAATAGAAAGTCAGCCGCACTTGGAATGAGCCAATTTTCTATCGAACATGGCTACCATGTAGAACCAATTCAGCAACAAGAAGCTTTTAGTTTCCCTTCAGATCCGACAAAAAGGGCCCAGGATTTCGTGAATAGACTGAAGGAGGCAGAAGATATGGCACAGGCAGCTATGGCGTCGGCACAGCATACCATGAAGGAGTATTCAAACAAAAGCCGCAAGGAGGCTGATATTTTTAAAATAGGAGACCGGGTATGGCTAAACTTGAAGAATATTCAGACCCCACAACTATCGAAAAAACTCTCATGGACAAATGCGAAGTACCAAGTGTCACAGTTCGAATATAGAAAGCGAATGGGCATTCGTATGATTGAAAGATAAAGCTATAACTCATCTATGTAGAAGCAAACTGCCTGCAAGTCTACTCTACTACTTATACACATCCAGAGGTATCTAAATCTAGCCTACACTTACAGTGGCAATAAAACTGACTTAAGGTTTGTTCTGCCATACGGATAACGCTTCCGATACTCTTGGCACTATCCTTTACGTAGCCTCAGTGGCGATCTCGTATCAGTTTTCGTCTGCTGATAATCCTCGGAGTGATAGATAATATAGGTTGCCTTCGATAGCCATCGAAGGCTACAGGACTTATCGGCTCACAAGCTGTCACACCAAGTAACAAAAGTCATCGACTCGCATCCAGTCGAATTAAATACGCCACGAGGTATATGGCCACGCTTTCACGTTGATTTGCTAAAAAGGGCAGCTACTGACCCACTACCGTCCCAAATCACTGACGACGCTCAACCTCCACCAGTAAAATCGCAAATACAAGACGGTCAATTAGATAATGAAGAGTCCCAGCAATTTGTCGAGAAAATTCTACGAGCTGAAAATAGGAAAATTGGAAAAGGGTATCGACGCTTGGTCCTAGTTAAGTGGAAAGGATTTGCTGAGCCCCCGTGGGAACATAGGGTTAATTTGGAAGAAAATGAAGTGCTGGATATTTTTGAAGCACGTTATGGAACGAAAGATAATGTTGGTGAAGATTCTGGTGCAATATTAGGGCGTAGAAAAATTACAAAGCGAGCGCTGCTGGCAGGGTTATGATTATTCACCTAATATTCACACCAAAGGGAGAGGGGGAGTAATGTTACAGGCTATTGCCCTTGTAGATGGAATCCGGAGTTTATCCGGCTCCTTGGAGTTGATTATGTCAGCGGTAAGCGAGACAACATCTAGGGGGTGATCCCACAAGTATGTAGTTTTTCTCTTTAGACACAAAATAAACCCATTTTGGATACACTCGTGCGGACAGCTATTCACTCTGGTGCCATCCTTTCACAGCAGGTTTAGACATGCTGATGATATGGCCATCATCGGAGTTGGAAAACCCGCGGCGGATGCTATCTCTGCAGTACAAGACAACGTCAGCAGTCTGATTCTTCTCGCCAGAGAACATAGGATCGAGTTTGACCCAGCAAAGTCCGAACTTCTAGCGACCGGAGGGGGACCTAGAAGGAAAATCAACATGGTTGGACTTTCAATTATGGTGAGAGATCGTCGAATCGAACCAGCACCTCACATCCGGTGGCGAGGAATATGGCTTGATACTCAGCTGAACTTCAAGCAGCATGTACAGGAATGGACTGGAAAAGCTAATCGTGTAGTCCATTTCTTAAGACATATAAACGGAGTTCAACGCGATGCAGCTCACGGACCTCTAATTCGTGCGGTATATGCATGCATTCTGAGTACGGCTCTATATGGGGCAGAAGCGTGGTGGCCTGGTCTCACTCGAATAACCTCGCTACGAGATGAGGAAGTCGGCACTGGCGTAGGCTGGCATATATCTCTGCTAGACAAAACGATAATGAAAGCTATTCTAGTAGCACTCCCAATAGCGCTCTCCATCGTGAAGCGGGAGTACCCCGGGCATCTATCATCCTCCAGCAAAAGACGCTGCGATCGGCAGCCCGCATGCGAAGAATGGATGTGTGGCATCCTCTAGCCCTCCGGGCGGCTGAGGGCCCGAAAGATACGATCAGACGCTTAGGTCTTCGATCTGGACAAAGAGATCACCTATTCAGACAGCCAGAACGATACATGACACGCCTGCAAATGAGCGTGCGTCAAGTTTCGATAGCCGAAGGCCCTGGAAAGCTCTACTTTCCACACGGCTCCCCAGCACTGACTCCATGCAGTCGAGAAAAAGAAGCTAGGTCTGGAAGCATAAAGCGATGGTTAGCTTCCCTACTAGCAGAGACAATCTGTGCCTTCTCTGACGGATCTTCGTCGGGCCCTGGAAAATCAGTCTGGGGATATGAAGTATACCAAAGAGGCAAGCTAGTTGGGACTTGTTCCGGTCCACTTCCTGGAGCAAAGGTATTCGACGCGGAGACTGTAGGCGCTACGAAAGCCTTGGAAGTTGCACTAACGGTGGGAGATGACCTACCGATCTGCATTCTTCTGGACAACGAAACGGCCACCCAGGCGCTCGAAAGAGAAAGATCTAACTCCTCGCAGTCAGTGGTGGACAAGTTTTCATCGCTGAGATACAATAAGCGTGTGGAAATACGCTGGATACTTGGGCATGTGGGGATTCAAGGCAATGAAGAGGCCGATAAGCTGGCCAAATCTGCCTTGGGAGCTCCCAATATCCGGTCACTAACCTCAGCTGCGCCCATTCTAGAAGATCAAGATCTAACATTTGCGGCATTAGGGGAGTAGGTTAAACAGCGCAGCCAAGAGCTCGTGGAAGAGTGGTGGCAGAAGTATCGACCGAAACGATACAAAGATCTGGACCTATTAATGAGTTGCAAAAGACCAGCGGAACTAGCTTTACCAAGATGGGCGTACCACCGTCTTACTGCGGCAAGAACAGGCCACGGGGACTACGCTGACTACCATTGACGTCTCAACCCCTAAAATGAAGATCTGAATTGTTTTTTCGGCCGAGAGAAAAGGCCCTGGCATTTTTCAGAGTGCCGACCTGCTTTGCTACGCTGGAGAAGCTATGAGAAAATGGCCCCACCTGGGGCCAGGTAAATGATAGGGGAGAAGGGATGGCAGAAGTTCATTCAATTCTGAACGATAGGCAGATGTTACAGTTTGCCGAAGAATGAACAGGGTGGGAGTTGACCACGCTGAGACGGTTTCCAACTCTGGAGGGGATATTCTTGGAAGATAGGTATGCAGCGCAGGTCACTGTAACTCAGTCATTTATTGTTCCTTTTTATTTCTTTCGTCGCTTCTGGTTTTAATGCCGGTCATGTAGGTAGCAATGAGCTCTCAGAGCCCATCTACCCGTGTCACGTCTAAATAGATGCTAGGTTTGTCCTGTCACGTTAAATATTTCAAATCAAATCAAATCAAACCCTTCATCACTAACTCCCATTAACCATCACCCGACCTATCTCTGTACTCCATAATTTCAACACTATCTAGACTTAACGGCAAATATTTGACCGTTGTTGAAACTGAAACGAGCATTTATGGTTTCAGGTCATTTATTATGATTATGTAATGAATTATGGGATGGAGTTCACCTTGTAGTTTCATTCCGTAGTTGAGGATAGAGAATAACTATCACAACGAGTAGCAATTTGAATGCGAATAATTTTGATCACACTGTTAACATATTATCGTACAATCCTCTGTATCATCGAATGGGTATGCCTTGATTTCTCTCACAACTTTCCCATAGAAATGGGTCACGGATTTTTGAGCTACGATATGCTTCCTATGGCGGGTATAAATATCGGCATGGGCGTGTATTTGGTGGCCATATAAAGCAAAAGAATAGTTGATAAGAGGTATGGTCATTAAAATCATGATGTCCTCGGTTGTACTTTCAGGCTTGATGAAGCTAAGCAAGGAGTCGATTCCGTTGAGAGTGGAAGATTGACTCTGTGGAAATTTTTGAATCGATTATTCGTGGGCCAACCTCCTTGGTATTGCCAATTTCGGCTAGAATTGGCTCTGTGAGTATATTTCACTCTCAGGTTCGTAGAGGACGTTGTCGACAGTCGTTCACTATTTATCCTCGCTCTTGCCTTGAGTGATGACTCACAGGCCGCTTTAGATCCTGTTGTCCAGGATAAGATTATTTGTCATAATTATTCTACCCTCGTTGCCGACCCATTACAGATTTGTTTGAAGTTAATTAGAAGATCCTGGCAACTGAATACAGGATGATTAATCGCTTGCATTAGGAAATTTGATAAGTGATATCAGTCAGAAGATAATTATCTGGGTAGAAAAGAAAAATTATAATTAAGAGACTTATAACTTATTTTTGTTAGAAGAGAATACTTGAAGCAATTTTTTCATATCTGAATTATAGACATCAATATCCAATCAGTGGTATGCAGTGTCATTTGTGGCTTTTGTTTGTTGTACATCATCACACAGTCGTCCACTTCTGTGAAAGATCATCAGATATCTTGTCCTATTGTGATATCCCGTACCAGGTAACCAAGAAATTTCATTTGTAGTTGCATTGTCACTGTTTTGGTGTAGGATTTTTCTATCAGAGGTATCTGTGGTTAAAACTTGCGACAAACAGATCAATTTACTCTGGGTACTATCGCATCTTGTGCCATTCATTGAACTAGAAAAGAACGTATATTGGTTTTTTACTTTATTAGTACCATGCCAAAACTACTTTATTTGCACTTGTTTACAACACCAAAAAATTTCAGAGCCCCATTACAAGAAATATTGAAGCTTCGGAATATTTGATTATATTTTTTTCTAACTTAATATTCCACTGTGCGTAGTTCTGTTCTTGTCGTGGATGAACTCTCGTGATTTAAGATCATAACTTTGATTTGGAAGTCCAGATGTGTTGTGAAGACAAAAGACAGCCGATGTATCAGTATCTGTGAGGGAATTCGACGATTTAAAAGTCTGTTACTCTGCCGTTATAGCTCCAATCACCCCTTTCACCAGTGCTGCCCCACCGAAGAGGCTCATTTTTTGGACCTCCAATTTCTCCAGTATGAGGATTTACATCGCCGTAAAATTCTGGCTCAGCCCCTCGACGGATATCTGGATGTAATTCACGACCGTCTCCTTCAGCTTCTAATTTGGCCTGAAATTCAGGCTTCTCTGCATTGGCTTCTGAAATTTCCGAGACTTTTGGTGATTCTTCTGGAGTCTTGAAGTTATGTGAACTTCTTGCAAGAGCTGAGAGTTTATTGAGACGCTCGAACTCTTCTTGTTCTTCTTTATCTAACCGTGGGGGCGCTGGTGTGACTCCGAATGATGTTTGCAGTGGTATTCGAGTGATGAAATTTCTTGATATGCAGAAAGATAATTGTGAACCAAAAATTTTGACCCGGCGAGTTGTCATCATGATTAAATTTCAGTCGGCAGTTTGTCCAAGGCAGTCAAGACTTGCTAAATAGTGTTGAACATGCTCGAATCAACAACCTGGTACAACTACAAGAGTAGTTGCCTCAGCCTGCTCTGGTTTGTGCCTTATGACGACACAATGATATCGCACAAAGTAGTGATAAACTGCCTTAGTTGGCCTCAAATTTAACCAGACTTAGTACTAGACGGTTTTACAGATTGATTACTTGAATTAAATTTAAGTCTCTATTGAGTCCTATACTATGAAAGTCTACTTAATGATGTATCAATTAAGTTCTTTCAGTCAAAGGTTAAGTTTATACGTAAATATAACGGGGGACTAATAGGGCATGACCTTCTGCAATGGATATGTAACATATTCCACGCGACTAACTATTACGTAACACAAGTATATATACATAGTTAGAACACTTAATGTAGACTTCATGCTTCTGCACTACACCTTCATCATCTCTTGGCAAAAATTAAGCACAACAATATACAAATTTACTATTAACTTTAAAGCTATTTAGGTAGTTTTAGCTGTCCTTCATAGTCATAGACTCAGTAGGGACATAAATAAAATTATATTCTATTCTAACGGGGGACTATTCTCAACATCTGTTAGTGGTGTCCCCTACGAACCTCCAGCTCTCACTGTAGAGTCTGCAGAGCCGAGATTGAGTAACAAAGTCCCCACTTCGACGAGGATTCCCAATCGCTTTCGCGGTCTGTATCTTCTTCATCTCTTAACACACTCCCCTATCACCATTATCATGAAACTGTCCACAATCAGGTCAGATGGTAGGGTCGGAGCCCTACTCATCACCTACCCTTGATCATGGAGGAAAAGCCATCCGATACGGAGACGGCGGATTGGATCAAGTTGGCCTCGACTTTTACAAAGAAGGGAAATACAGATAGAATTGCGCACCCCATGTGGTCCCGGTGTCTAGGCCTCGCCTGGCTGGGGCTGCAGGTTTTTCGAGACTTTTTCCCGCGCACGCAGTTTCCATTGCTACCTTTTTTTTTTTTTTTTTAGGAAGAAGGTTCTGTGGAAAAGGTGGCTGAATTCTGTAAATAAACACTGAGCTGAACGGCTGTTCATCACGGGGAAAATGAAAATGAAAAGACTAGCTTCTCCGACGAATATATACGTGGATAACTCAGTTTGAAATTTTGACTACTCATGTAGTGGGTGCATCCGCTGATACCACTCGAGACCTTGGTGCAAGGGACTTTCACCCTTCCCTCAACCGTTAATATCCACCAAAGGGAAAACATGAAAAACCTTTGGCTACCCTAACATGCCTTTGCCATCTTGTATATAGCCGCCGCGCGAGATATGGCCTCACAGTCCTCGCTTTCTCGAGTGATACAGGTGTCCAGGCTACCCAGACTTTAATTCGGGGAGATGAAGACCAGGAGGCGGATCAGAACACCTTCCATCGTTGCCTGGATATAGAGTGTCGGTTGCACTATCCTAAATCGTTGCCTCGGCGCCCACAAACACCCTTAAGTCGAAAACACTCGAAAATGTGCGTCCCAACATGCCCATTTGTGACCTCTTCACTCGTTCGTCCCACTTCCCAGCTGCCTGTTCTCCCTCAAGATGTGAAGCCCCATTACAGCAACGGTCCCCCATAGACCAAGACCCGAGCTTTGTAGATTATGACTTAAACTCCTCCTCGCGGGTATACATAGCATCGTAAATGTGTACTGGGAGATGACCGGTTTTTGATGCGCCAAATGCCCGATTGCGATTGGAGTAACGCCTCTTTCGGTATTTGAGGCGAGGTAGTGTGGTAAGATTGAGGTGGAAGACTCGTGTGAGAATTCGTCACGGGGAATATATCAATGATTTTTCAAGTAACAAAAGAGGATAGGAGCACTGTTCAAGGTGTGGCCTGGGTCAGAGAGGAGCCCAATGTGCTAGATAGTCATAGACTCAAGTAGTACAATAAACAAAAACATATCACACTATGTTACGTATCTTGTTTGTATATTGTCCCGTGACTTCTGTCTTATATGCTCTCTCACCCCGTAACAGGTCCTGGCTTAGTGAGTGCTTTTGCTTTAGTGGGTTATAAATCTTGAAGGACAGGCGACGGGAGCGTGGAAAGAAACAAGTAAGAAACCTCTTGTGGGAACGATAGATCTGGTATTTTCGAGGTTGTTTCTACTTGGGGACAATATTGAGGGTCAAGACCGAGGCTTCGGAAAATTAGCCGGGATGATTTCTATTGTCGATAAGTCAACGGCACTCCCCAGCGCCCTGGACGGTACAAAAGAAGTTGGGCTAAGCTACTATACAGCAATCACGCTCTGTCAAGACTTTTCTGACACTCCAGCACAACATTCAGGAAGGAGTTGGGAGGAGGCTAGAAAGGCAGAGAGTGAATTTCTCGAGGTACACACAAGTCTGCAGCGCCCAGCTGGCCGGCTTCTTCGAACGCTTCAGAATGGTAGCTATGTCTTCGGACCTAGTCCTAATGTCAGTATTAGGAGAGCTCCGCACCCAGTAGTTTTTTGCGAATTTTCTCGGCTGTCATACACCCGCAAACAGCCATCGCTTCGTCGGCTGGAGAGGGGAGATAATGAAGGGCAAACGGCTCCTCTTAGTGTATGATCGAAGGAGGACTTGTGAGGGGTGGTACTGTTTGAGGGAGCTGTATGGGAGGCATAGGAGGGGATATACTACTGGTATAGGTATCCTTGGCCTACAGGCAGAGAGGATCTGCATGTCCTACATAGTCAAAGACTGAGACAGGACAATTAAACGAATTAAGAAAACCTCACATGATTAAACTATTAAAAGCTTGACGTTGTGTAAAAGAAGTAAGGTAGGGGTTAAGGGATCACGACTGGACGAGAGAGCTGAGATTTGGATGCGTATGTCTTTTGTAATTGTTGTTAAATCTAAATTTATTCCAGTCCCTTCTGTGTATATAACTGCGGGGGACTGCTAAAAATATCTTGAGGTTTTTCGAAATTGTTATTAACATCACATTTATGTTACTTCAGTATTCTGAGATGAATTTGGAGGCTCAAGCTTGAAATTTGTAAACCTCTTATCTAACTTTCATGCAACACAGTGAAATTATCTCTGCATCTAGTCCCTCGATTAAAATTTATGGGATTCGTTTCTTCTGACTATGTTAATATTTTTGCACATATGTATATATTCTACAGTTCTGTCTTAACTGGCCGACTTCGATGCTGTGATCACACGAGACATTGTTACGCTCACCACGAGATTTTAGGCTGTGGAATTAGACCGCAAGAGAAGTAAAGGCCACCGACTCAGATATCAAAAGTTAACTCGCTAAGCAGCTAATTTTGTATTGAATCTATGATGGGATAATATGTATGCTTCTTCACAGCACTGGTATGGTGCGCATACTCAGGGAGTGATGGTAAAATTTTGACTCTGCAATCTGTCTGTAGTGGACAGAATTCACATTTCGTAATTTAAAACCTAATTTTCATGAAAGTTTAGACTGGGTTCAATAAAAGGCCAATATAGTCTACAAGACGCGCACAGGACGTAATTCTTTGGATGATAAAAGGGTAGGCTGTGCAGATGCAAGTTAGGTGTGATAATTGTAACGTGACCATTTACAAAGTGTATGATATATTTCTACTTCCTTAATTGCCTCTGATAGAAAGCGAGTTCTTCACCTTCCAAAATGTAACCATCACAACGTCCACTTTGCCCAGGTCTTGAAGACACAACGGCAAATAGACGACCAGCTTCAAACTGTTTTTCTAGAGCTGGGTCGACTTTTCCTTGGGTAGCGAGTCTATCAGAGTGCTTTTTCTCAACAGATTTGCTCTTTTTCGTAGGCTCTGCTACTTCCTGTGCAGTCTTCTGTTGACGTTTCCGACCTAGTGCCTGACCGTAATGAGCCTCGTACCACTGCCTGAAAGGTGCTGCATCAACTTGAACAATTGCAGATTTGGTGAGGGTGTTTGTTCGGACAAGTTCGTTGTTGGAGGGATGGAAAACGACAACGATAACGCGAACCTTGCGTGCGACACCTTCAGAGGCCCAAGAAAAGTTACCTGAATCTAGACGAAGTGCACGGAATTTACGGTTTCCACCACGTGTACGAACTAGATGGATTCTCTTGTTTCCTATACGGGTGTTGGACTCTTGACGGCCGGCTTCGAAAGCGCGCTTCTTCCCTGTAAAAATTTTCAGTTTCCAGGTTGGAACATATGTTAAGTAACATATGGGCTTTCTATAACGCACGGTAATAAGATCTTTTAGCGCCAGAGGCTGAACGCTTGTGTCTAGAGTCGCGAGAGATACCCATGGTCGTAAGATCTAATAGGTTCCGTTAGAAAGCGAAGACGACAATTATTTTTTTCTGAATGGGAAGTTCTTATGTTTAAGTAAGGATCCAAGCTGATAAACTGCAGCAATAAGATTTTCAAGTCTACTTGGGGAGCAAATATTTACTCTCGCACTAGAACTTGGAGATTTCTTATGAAATATTGAGGAATTGTGGTGGACACTTACTTGGGACTTAAGTAGCCTGGGGTTGTCGTTGCCGGCGTGACTTTGGAGTTGTCGATGTCTACACGTTTTTGGAAGTCGTAGTACTTTTTTTACAATTGGTTGTGTGCAGGCTCGCTTTAGCTAGTGGCTTAAGCGAGTCGCGTGATATTGCTTTCCATCGTGTAAGTCGTTTTGGCCAATTGGCCCCACCTTGTCCGACTAGCGCTTCTAATACTGGAGATGTTTTCTTGTCATACCAAATCGGCGTCACCATTCGATGTGGAGAGAAAAATTAAACACCTGTACGCAGTGCCATCGACGAACCTGGGAGTGAAATTTTCTCCCAGAGCCAAGTTCAGTCAAATTTCGCAGTAACGAATAAGTTGGCCCACGAGGCAATTATTCAAAATACTCCACCACATCAATTTTAACTCCCAACGAGATCGACTTATACCCTAGCCTCACCGAGTTTGCAAGTGCGACCTAGCATATCCACATTTCAATGACTACACCTCTCGTCGACTATTCTCGGGCCTCAGCTAGTCACTAGATGTACGCCCACGATAATACCAATACTCGCAGGAGGACAAAAATAGTGGCACACAAATTTGGGAGAAATTTCTTCGAATTGACGTGAGAGAGATCAAGATAAATTTACAAGATTATGCAAGGGAAGGATACAATCTTGACGGGTGTGGGATTTGGAATTTTGGCCAGGAGATTTATATATTGAAGAGTATTTTATGCGCCAAGACTTTCATTGCGAGAGTGCAGCTGAAATAAAAAAATCAAGCCAACATGAGAATAAGCAGTTGTCCGCCTCCTGGAGGTGGTGTTCGCTATGGTTTCAGTAGCCTAGGCACTTACTTCACTTGGGAAGAAGACGTGCTAGACCATTTCTTGTGCGGAGAAAAGTCAATGAATGATGAAAGCGTGTCTTGATAATTTTGGGGTTTCGAGACGTTTCCTCGAGCTGATATTCATTGATGACGGCTGACTCGTGGTTAAGTCAAGGCCGATAATACCTCGTTGTGGTACTTATAAATAAAGTCCGAGGCGTGAGTGTCTATCCTTTAAATTAAATCATCTATCCCTTAAATTCTCACCGATGTTGTGCCATACCTAGTCAGCTGCATATGCGATTAGAATTAGATGGTAAAAAATTGTTCGATAATATAGTGCTATCTATAACCATGTAATTGAACAAGGACCTGTGGGCTATCACCACTGGAAACAAGTCATGAAAGAGACGAAGGATGGAGAAAAATATCCGAAGCATAGATACACCCAGCCTAAAGGTTGACAAAACCTACATGTTCTGAAATGTTTAAAGACTTAATTGGACAACAAACAAAAAAATTGTCTACTGTTTGATGGGGAGTATGCCATAGGGCTAGTGAAAAGTATTGAAAACCATGTTCCTCCAGTATCTTCATCACAACTTCATCTGAAAATAGAAAGATCTCCTTTGAAAACTTTTGGATGTGTCGTGCCCTCCTTTAGACGTCCGCATGAGTGCTACTTTTTGTCTCGCACCCTCACATATCACATACCGGCTTAAACTATGCTCTGATTCTTCTCCTACCTCATTTAGAGAAAGGGTCTAAACCACAAGATGCTATTCACGACTTTAGAATCAAAGGACTTTCAATGATAACACGGAGCTCAAGTTTTTTGGCCGACAGCTCAATACCAGAAACTCACTGGATCTATTATTGTTACTAGCTCTCGTTCAGTGATAAACCCTTACATTTAATGTGCCACAAGTCTCCCCAGGGTTTGCAGCCTTTTTCATTTATCGATTACTATGCAGTGGTAAGGAGGACGTTTTTGATCCAGATTAAGATCGAAATTAATGGCGGAATAGATTTCAAATTTCCATGCTAGACCAAATTTTGTCCTTAAGTCTGTCTATGATCAGTCTCAAGGACAAAGTTTAGACAACGATGTGTAAGTTGCTGAAATAGGACTCGACGATTATCTTGTGATAGGCCATGAATAAAACAAGAATAAAGTAATCTAGCCGCAATTCAGTATATTTTCCAATTATCTAGAACGTAGTGTTTATGTTGGCTGAAGGTTACATTTACCTGTAGCTCTTGCCGTAGAGTGATTCATACTATTTGGGTTGGTAAGACCTGATTATTTTTATTTTTATTTTTATTTATTTTATTATATGTCGTGCCCTCGCGCAGCAAGTGAGCTTTTCACGTGCGGGGTTTTACTATTATTTATTCCATTTATTGTCCTTTCTGAGTTTATGACTATGTAGGAAATGCAGGTTCTCTCTGCCTACAGGCCAAGGATACCTATACCAGTAGTATATGCCCTCCTATACCTCCCATACAGCTCCCCTCAAACAGTACCACCCCTCAAAAGTCCTCATTCGATCATGCACTAAGAGGAGTCATTTGCCCTTCATTATCTCCCCTCTCCAGCCAACGAAGCGATGGCTGTTTGCGGGTGTATGACAGCCGAGAAAATTCGCAAAAAACCACTGGGTGCGGAGCTCTCCTAATACCGACATTAGGACTAAGTCCGAAGACGTAGCTACCATTCCGAAGCGTTCGAAGAAGCCGGCCAGCTGGGCGCTGCAGACTTGTGTGTACCTCGAGAAATTCACTCTCTGCCTTTCTAGCCTCCTCCCAACTCCTTCCTGAATGTTGTGCTGGAGTGTCAGAAAAGTCTTGACAGAGCGTGATTGCTGTATAGTAGCTTAGCCCAACTTCTTTTGTACCGTCCTGGGCGCTGGGGAGTGCCGTTGACTTATCGACAATAGAAATCATCCCGGCTAATTAGCCGAAATCTCGGTCTTGGCGCCCACAAAAAATCCAAAGTTGAAAACTCCTTGAAAATGTCAGTCCCAGCACGTTCTTCAGAGACCTTCTTACCCTCTCGCTCCACATCTCAGCCGCTTGTCCTTCCTCAAGATATTTAGTCCCATTAGAGCATCAGCTCCCCATAACCCAAACCTCCAACTTTGTATATTACGACTTAATATCTTCCCTGCGGGTATACGTAGCTTCGTAAATTTGTAATGAGTGATGGCCAGTGATGAATGAGGCAAGCTCTCGTTTGAAATTGGGGTGACGCCTTTATTGGTCGTTGAGGTGAGGTGATGCGTGGTTAGAAAGAGGTTGAGGACTCAGATGAGAATGATAAGAGAGGCATTGTCGAGAAGTCGTCAAATGGAGAAATGCTTGAGTTTCCTTTCGACTTCGATTCGAATGCGATTCTCCTTGGCTATCCCAGATATGCAGAGTATACTGAGCGATCACACCTTCACCACTGGAAGATGAAGAGTTCGTCTCTGCTGGAAAAATTCACGTTATTTCACCTCACTTCACCTTATAATCCTCTATCCGCCAAGTGCCATGTTCTCGCATGATTTCGAGGATCCTCGTCCTACTACTTTGAAGGCTCCTAAAGAGCTTCCGACATGCTAGATGTCTGGCGTTCGATATAAGCCACACCAATCATAGGTTCTGGCGATATCCCCTCCTTGACGAAGTGAGCGAACTTATATGGGTTTTTATATTATGATTTGTGTATGATTTGGGAATGTACACTTGCGCTGGAACAGCTAAGATAGTTTGTGGAGAGATATCTTCATTAATGTGCAGAATTGAAGTTACTGTGATGATTATTACGTTACAGTTGGGGAAGCGGAGGGCAAGACTGAACACCTGTACGCGGTGTCCTCTACGAACCTGGGGTTGAAATATTCTCTCAGAGCCAAGTTCAGTCAAGTTTCGCAATACCGAACAAGTTGGCCCACGAGGCAATGATCCAAATTACTCCACCACGTCAAATTTTCACTCCCAACGAGATCGATTCCTACCTAAGCTTCATCAAGTCTACAAGTACGACCTAGTACATCCTTATTCCAATGATCACACTTCTCGTCGACTTTCTCTGGCCTCAGCCGGTCACCAAATACACGCCCACGCCGATATTTACACCCGACGGAGGAAGCAAAGCGTGGCGCACAAATCTAGGAGACTGTTCTTTGAGATGGACGTGGGAGGAATCAGGACAAGGTCATGAGATGATGCGAAGGATTGATACAGTCTCGACGGGCGTGGAATTTCGAAATGTGGAAAGAAGTTATTACAAATTGAGCTTTGTGCGTGCCAAGACTTCGGTTGCGAAAGTGCAGGCGACACTATAAACACTGCCATGGTTTGATGGTGCGGTGGTACATCGTCTTGGCCGGTCTGCCAAGTAGAGTCTGGATAGCTTGGACACATGTCCCACTTGAGACAGTAGATCGCTAGTTCAAATCCAGCAAAACACAACCACATTTCTCGCGGCGCTGGTATGCTTGAATAACCAAAGGTTTTGAAACGTCCTTTTGGTGGGTACTTAGGGAGGGGTATCGACTGTTTGTGTAAGCAAGCATACCTCGTAGTGGTATTTGCGAATGAAATCCAGAGTATGAGTGTCTCTAACGTCAAAAGAGTCATCCAACATGTATACATAGCACCGTTCATGTGTCATAGTTAGATAGCTGAATACACATTAATTAATGATAAAAAAAAAAGAACACAATGTTTCTACCTAAGCGAGATAGAACATACATAGATAATTAGATGTAGATTAAAATCTTATAACTTTAACTAGATATAAGCTCATTAAAAACCTAAAACTTCGCTGATCCTAACCTATTATCTCTGATCCTAAAATCCTCAATATCTTACGATTCATACAGTATTGACTTGACGGTCAACGTTTATTTCTATCATTCCAGGCACCTCCAGAACTCTAATAATACATATCCTGAGCTGAAGCACATTCCATGATCTGATCACCATT